TTTTGATGAAATAGACAAGTTAATGTGGTTTGATAATATTAATGCCTTTTCCAATTCCTCCGTGAGATTGCATGCCAAATTAGTTATTTTTAAATATATTTAATAATTTTTGATGCAAGGATTGTTTATTGGTGGGGCCAGCTTTTTTGGATTATATTAATGAAGCAAACATAATAGCTGACTATATGATAGAACCAGTAGTCCATCCTTAGATTCTGTTGATTGAAATGGAGAAGGTAACTCAGACTATATTGTTTTATGACTAAGTCAGTCTGTTTCTGTATTTCTTAAAGCTTTTTATTGTTCTGAATATAAACAATACATTCTAGGTGACATTAAGTGAAGATTAACTAGACTGGGTCTAAATGGGTCTTCAAAATAAGAGAAACTACTATTACAAATTTATGGAGTGTGATCAGCACAGGGTGTTCAGGACGGGTGCCTGAATGTTTTTGCTTTTTTGATGTTACTGATCATTCTGTGAGGACTATATTCTGTTCTGTCCCTGTGGGACAGGAGGAAACGATATTTCATAATGTCAAGATAAGGAGTTAGGAGAAATTGTGTCAATTTTTTTCTTCGACAGCAAAGATATCAAGAGTTTAGATTCGTCCCACTTAGAATTGATTATTGTATTTTATTGTTAACACCTCATGTCTCAATTGGGCTGAAACCCAGTTTTCTATGTAGAAAATAGAAGCTTACTATATAGAACAAAAGAAAGCAATTTTTTAAACGTTTTTGGCAGAACAGCATCTGGAGTTGAGGGGTTTAAGCATGTCTGTACACTTTCTTTGTAAACATCTGCATCAATTTGACTCATTCACCCGCAATTACTTGGAAACTTTTTGCCTGCCCTGTTCAGTTATAGCTTAAGTTGTCAAGAGGCACGTTGGTGTAATGGCTAAGGCCTCTGACTTGCATGTTGGAGGTAGGGGTTTGACCCAGCTCGCAGGTTTATACATTTGGACTCTTGTCGACAACCTGAATAAGTTTTTATTCAGCAGCAGCGCTACACCGTAAGCAAACCAAATTTCTTCCCCCTTAAGAGTGACTTGTTCTGACCCGCGGTCACCCTCTGTGCATAGAGACTTTCTACTAGTTAGCTGGACTACTAGTAGGTCCCTGAGAGAGACACCGTCGAGCGCGTCGCCACAGCAGAAATCTCTCCTCCAAATTCGTCCGACTCCAAGCTTCACCCCGACTGGTTGGCCAGGAGCCAGAGGACGCTGGGGTGACGCCTATTGAACACCACAGCAACTAAGCAGTTAAAATATCACAATATCACATTTTGGAAACATTTGACGTTTGTTTTTAAAAATATATATATTATTGTCCTTATAGTGGTAACAGGCAATGGACTGTCATGTAGTGCACTGCATCCAGGCGGTTCAAAGCCCGATCAGAGAATTACTTTGTTTTTCACATGGCTGAATATATACAAATAGTCCACTATTATAGCTTGTTGTTGGCTACGGTGTGAGTGTGTGTATCTGGATTAATTATTATAAGTGATGGTTTCGTGATTTAGGATTTCTTCATGCAATTCTTTCAATTAAAGGAGGGAAAAGGGTTATATTTACATGTTGTGTATCATCTTTTCTTATATTTGTAAAAACATTCCAATTTAAATGCAATAAGGAATATATTATTAATAACATTGTAACGAATTCAGATTCTTGGGCTTGTGCCCTCGCTGCTTCTGCCTCAGTTTACCCTTCACCACATGGGCTCGAACCCGGGTCTCCTGTGTTGCTCAACAGAGGTTTTTCCAGCTGAGCTACAGAAGACCTCTTTTAGCACCAGCACTTCAGCAGCCCTGTTATGCGGAGGGGAGCAGAGAGCTGTAGTGTCAACATATAACACTTTCCTCGGATTTCTCATAAAGAATATTATCAGGCCCCTCTGCAATATAAAGGATATTACACAGTGCTCTGATGTGCACAAATTACAATACAACACTTCCTTTATTTACATATTTCCTATCTGTAAATTTATCTTCCCTATACTCCAGTCCAGTTTCCCAGATAAATGGGACACCCCTGTCTGTGAATCCTTAACGTTGACTTGAATTTTGGGGTGGTGACTTGGTAGTCTGCTGGGGCAAATCTATTTCAGAACCCAAAAGGCCAGGTTTCTTTATCAGTCCACTCCCTCCTATTGGAAGTTGGACACAGGCCTCACGCAGGTGTTCTTAATCAAGTTTTTCCACTGATAGTGTAGCAGAAGCATTTCACTCTTTAATTGCTCAGATATTAGACTATCTGTAACAAGATCATTTAGACAGCAGCTACTGGCCCTCCTGTGGAAGAAACAGAATGTCAATAACAAAGTTTGAGACCAACGTATCTGTCTACTTTCCCCGTAGATGTCTAAACAAATATGGGTCATTATTCATTACGACCTTATATGTCATGTTGTTCTGGGTCGAATTCCTGCCCAGTGGAATAGACCCATGTTCTTTCCTCGTCTCCTAACTAGGGGAGTAATGGGTCAGTCACCAGTCACCTCTCAGCTGTGATTAGCCAAGACCTGCTAGTTTGTGCTCCTTCCATGAGGTCACAGAGATGACTGTCATACTCAATTACGTTGCATCAAATTTCATTGCTTAACAAACCAGACTCTTGTGATTCTATCAACACCTAAGAGTTCGTGCATTTCTCTGCTGAGAATTTCTCCAGATTCCCTTCTCACCAGGTGTTGCACCCTGCTGCTTCCATTCTGCCTCCTCTCTAAGGGAAGCTCTCTGTTGAAGGTCTTGAATATTTACATTTTCTACTCTGGAAGGACTTGGACCTGATAGCACCAGTGGACAAGTACTACAGTCATGTGATGAGCAACTGAGTACTATATTTCTTTAGATTTTCAAAATATCAACCCAAAGTT